AGCAGCTGTACAATGCCAATTCACAATGACCAGGTGGCGATGCTGATTGGCTTCAGGCACAAACAGGAAGTGCCTTTTAACTCTTAATATTAACACAGGCTCTTTGGCAAAACATGCACCGTGGCAGCATTTCTACAACATATATTACATTGCCGTTTGCACCTTTTGGTTCCGCTTTGAAAAATAAACAGCGTTTACTTTTATCTGAAACTGATGAATACGAATCTGGCAATGTTTACTGATGTTGGTTATTGTTTGTAGCAGCAGATTGGAAAAGAAATGTCCCACTAAAAGCTGAATACTCTGTCATATAATGAAATAGCAGCATCTACGGTACAATAAACCCACACTTCATCTGTACTAATAGTAACAATAATAAAAGTACAGTAAGCATGAGATAAAGTTTACCATTTTGGATTTAGCTAAATCATTATTAACATGTTACTGTGCTTTCAAGTGCAGTGAAAGGTCAATTTGAGGTCACAATATAATTTTGTGAATGAAACTGGTTAAATAGAATAATAATTTGATTATTCATCAAAAATCAAACCCTAATTGTGATTGTGTGATATGGGGAAGGGGAGTGTATACAACAACAACAGGTGGCCTGAAAGCATAACTTCTGAACATGACTTACAGAGTGCAAATCTGGGGTCCGTTCTTCGTACCTCGCTTAAATGATCCAAGATTATTTGGCAGATCCTGGATCTTTTAATCTTGATAACTGATCTCTCGCTAATTTGGTTCTTCAAACAAGTTCGCGAATCAGATTAGAATGTCTGGATAAACTGATCTGAGAAAGCTGCGTGTGTTGTGAAGGACAGCTCTATCGATCCTCGAAATCATGATCAGCAATGCAACGATTGGCTGACGGCACAGCAGCGTAATGACATCATCTGATTAATATTCAATTATCTTTACATCAAAATTACATCAAATTAGCAGTAAACGGCTTGTTAAATATGACACGCAATAACCTTCCACATTTGTTGTGAGCTGCAGGCTTTCCACTTTCATGTGTCAAGAGTATTCATCATGTATTACAATGCAAATCAATATATTTAGTTCTACATTTAGAAAAGATTTTCTTTATTATAGTAGGCGTTTTTTAATCAGTGTAAAGAATAACTGGTTGTTTACAAAAGCATTTTCATATTGGTAAAGGCATCTGCAACTTTTGTGAAGGATCAAATCACCGGCATATTAACTATCAAAACATGTTTATGACTGCATAAATGTATTATTGCTTTAAAAAAAAAGTCACATATTGTGCATTTCTATTATACACAATTTGTACTAAAGCGATCTAAAAAGTTCATATCAATAAGTTTTGTCTTTGCACCACCAGGTGGCAGTCTTTGTACTTTCATTTCGAGGGTGCAGATTGCATGTTTTATTATTATGTATAACTTTATTTATTTTATTAATGACTATAACTTTATATATATAGTTAAAAAATATGTACCATTTTCCCAAGTGTATATAACTACTACTGTAAGAAAATATCAGAATTCGGAACATACTTTCTGTATTATCTTTGCTTGAACTTGCGGACTCGTCAATGCTTGACAATGGACCCTTCTCTAAGCCCCGCCCTCCTTAGTTACTGTTGCTGCGCCGGTCAAGCTTTTGTGCCTGGCAAGGCTTTTTCGAAGTGTGTGCACCGGTGTCAGACATTGCCAGGGATATATTGTCATGTTTGACGAATAGGTGAAATATCTGAGAAAGCCAGACAAAAAAGGACTGCAGCCTGCATTACAGGGGTATATTCACCTTATAATAGGCAACAGATTAGAGAATAAATCAATCCAAATTGAAGCTAGCTTAGCCTAGCTGCCTCATACGTTAACGTTCAACAGCTTAGTTCATGCACAGCAGGAGAGGTGAAATTTAAAAATAATCTAATAATAACTAATGAAACCGTGATTTCTCTATTTTTAGCCAAAAAGCCTGATAGATTAATTGTAAACACGCATGACAGTGCTTTTACTGTACATAGTTCATTCATAGAAAGAACAGCCAGAAAGGGAAACTGATGGATTTGTGCCGAATATTAGCATCATTGACCCATAACAATGTGCAGTAAGTTACCTATAACTGTCAGTATGTTTGTGTGCTCTTTATAAATGACTGAAAAACAGCTGCTGGTAAAGTATATGGATCGCAGCTGCTCAGTTTGTGATCATATCTTGGTTTTGTTCTGTTGATTTGTAATATCAAATATTCGTAGCTTGAAATAAGATGAAAATATGAAGTTCAGTAAAGTAAGCAACAGATTCGCAGATTCGTATTTTCCAGATCAATAACTCGTGTCATTATGACCTATTCGCTATTAGTATGGCTAAGTTACTAACGTTACGGCGAAGGCTTAAACAGAGTATTTCTCACAATATCAAGCGAAAAAAAAGGAATAAGACAGCTGTGAAACATAACCATCTTTGTGTTTTTGTAGGAAACACTGTTTAGATCTGTTTAGGGTAAGAGGTTTGAGTTATTGTCG